TCCAGACAAATTTTTACCGGCCTTGCCGACAGGACCGACGGATTTCGACAAGTCTGAAAATGGTAGCTAGGAAAAAAACATCATGACAACACACATGGAAATCAATGAAAGATGAAGCAATTTTTATTAATAAAAATAAAATTCTTCTGAAATTCTCAAAAAAATTTGCCCTAAAAAGAAAGCCCTTTTCCACCCCTCCATACATGTACCTTTGATCCTCCTCGTAGATCTTGCGTACGATCTCATCTATCATGAATTTCTCCTTGAGGAACTCCTCGTAGGCCTGTTGTTTTTTCTGTCCCTGCTCCTCTAACTGTCGCTCCAGTTCCTGTTGGTAGCGGATCTGTTCCCGGTATTTCTCAATCTCTCTCTGTCTCTCCGCCTCTTCGGCTCGATCGTGCTGCATCTTCATTTCATGTGCTATCTCTGAATCCCGTTTCTAGGGGGGGGGGAAACATATTTTTGAAATATAGTGGAGCAGGTGTAAAACCTCAATTAAGAACAAGAGGCCCATGGGCCACATCGCTCACCTGAGCACCAAGGGTAGGACTAGTATAAAATGGCTTTTTATTGTAAAGTTTAAATCCAAAAGTAGTCCCATGACCAATCATGGATTTGCTATTTTTTAGAAAATGATTGAGAAGAAGATTTTTAAAGAATTTTCTTATATATTTCTATGTAAAACATTGGTCGGCCATTTTGGCCCCGCCCTACCCCCGGAGGTCATGATTTGAACAAACTTGAATCTACACTACCTGAGCATGCTTCCATATATATATGATGAATTATGGATCACTTGATAAGAAGATTTTTAAAGAATTTTACTACAGTCTTCACGAAAACTTTTCAAACTAACTGGCCAGTCGGACCGGTAAACTTTCAAAATTTACTGGCCCACCAAAATTTTTACTGGCCCCTTAATTTAAAAAAAAATAAAATAAAGACATTTTCATAACTGTAAATTTATACATGTTTACCTTTTGAAATGCCGCCATTTTTTTCCCGCTCGATTTTTGACAGGCGATTTCTCAAAGACCTTTGGACTGATTTTTATGAAACTTTCAGGTTAGATACCTTGTAATTAAACCTATTTACACCTGTTTTCAATTTTTTGATGCATGCCTTTAATTGTGAGTTATTGCCCTTTAATTGATAATTTTGATGTCTCGTTTCCACTAAAAATCTCAAGAACGACGTAAGATATTTACACGAAAGTTGGAGAACTTGTAGCCAATACATTGTAGATGTGCAGAACGATAAAATTATAAGCTGATTTCCTAAAGTTTGGAAGCTATAAAACGGCAAATTTTAGTAATTTTTTTTCTTGAATTTTTGCTACTTTTTGTGTAATAACTTTTGAACCGAGAATAATTTGGTAAGAAATATATAACAAAAGTTGTGTGTAATTACGAGAGCTTTCATATTAGATTAATGAAAAGGGGCTGGCCCCTATAATTAGGGGTTAATAGCTCATACACGTTTTTTCTGATAGCTAAAAATATTGGTATATTATGAAAAAGTTTGACTGAAATAATTTCGAACTTATAAAATCTTGTCATTTGATATAAAAAGAAATAAACTTCCAGCTATATTTAATTGTTTTTTATATAAAACAAGTACATGTATGTGAGAAACCTTTCAGGAACAAGTTGTCTAGCCAGCCAAGCCTATAGCCAGCCAAGCCTTTACTGCATACATGTGCACATTTTTAGTTGATGCATCTAAAAGATATAGTTTTGATTCGGTGTTTCTTTGTTTTCTTTTTATTCAAATAATTTTAAAATGTGATGATGTACACAACAATAAATAGTACCTAGTTTAGAGGATTTTTTCGCGCTTGTTTGTAAACAACGCGCGGCATTGTGGGAAATAGGAAGGTACTAAAGACGCGATGTACTAAACACTTATTTGACCTGATTCAAATTTGTCTGTAAATGTTCCAAACAATTGAATTTTTGTATAGCATATGCCTCGAAGTCATAAAGTCTGTACATAAGTAATTTAAAATACTCAATATTACCATTTAATTAAAAATTAAAACGTCAGGTAAATATCAGGTCTCTAGTATATCCCGTTTTTAGTGTGCCCCTTCGAGTCGACGTCGGACACATGTTTGTCATGGTTTACAAACTGAAAATAGAATGATTTGTGAAGTTGAACATTTTCTCACAAAGAATCCGTTTGTAGACATGCACACTCATTTAATCTGGAGCTACGAAGTACTTTGTCACTTCTCTGGAACATTATTCTAAGCAGAATTATCCCGATTCATATATTCTAAGAATCTTGTGTGAATTGTTTACGAGGAAATTCTGACTGTCACATTAACAAGGATGAACACTCTTGACTCTGCTTCGGATTCCCCAGTGATAATTGTATCGAGTGATGAAAGAGCTGACGGCGACATTTTAATGTATGATTGGCTTGGACCATTGGAATGAAGGTTAGAATATTTTTATTACTTAAAATTTACACTACTGATTACATGACAGTGACGTACATTGATGTTATTAGAAATACACAGACACACCGATATATTATCTGTTTTACAGTTCAGACGCTCTCTGTTTGCCTTGTAAATCCCCACAGCTTTATATTTTATTTTTTTTAAATTTGAGGATGTAATTTCAACAGTCCTACTATCTATCATAGTGATCATACTCTATAATTCAAACTGCACTTAATGTTACAGAATATATTCAACTAATTATATATTGACAGTGTGACTGTAAGGGTGAGGGCAGATACTTATTTAGTTTTAATTTAGATTGTGCTTGTCAAGCCGCATTTGACATTTGGTGCATCCATGCTCAATGTTCACACTGAGAGTTTATTCAAATGTTTAATTCGAATGAATTCACTGCTCGTTAAATTACTTCCCATTAGCTCCATGTGAACATGAGTAAGGATAGCTAATTCAAATTAAATAGAAATGAATAGTTTGAATGTAGCTTAAACATGTTAAAGAAGCTAAGCACTGTGTGTCCAAAGTATACTGCGGAAAAATTGTGTGGAGCAATGTGCAAGTCACAATCTTCTTTTGCCAAGGTGTTATCATAAGAGCTCGCATTATGGGCAGGGATTTGTGCTGCTGTCTGGACTCGCTATAAATAGATGTTCTCAAAAAGTCTTAATTATTTAATATCATACTTTACTGACAAAAAAGGACAAATATTGCTCAGTTAAATTGCAAAAGAAATTTGTTTAAAAAAATTGAAATAATAGAAAGTTTGCTTTTTTTGTTTGATAAGACTGCTGTAATGGTTTAATGTTTGTTTATTTGCCTTAATCATACATTTTTCAGTCATTTCATGGTGCCACCACTTGGGATGGTATTAGCTGCAAATATAGACTTGTACTCAGCACTTATTGCCTTTAAGAAGTATGAGATCCATTTTGTGCTAACACCTACCGTGACACAGAATCTTGGTTTATGCAGTCTCATAGGAGTAACCTGTCTAAAGCATTTAGCAATGGGATTGGAACCTGCGACGTAAGGTTCAGCTTCTTATTGATACTTTGATTTATAATATTTATTTGAGAATTTCACTCATTCACATACTTAGAGATGTTGATATATATTGTTGAATAGCATCAATTTAGACCTTTAATTAGCTAAGTAAACATGTACTGTGAGGTTTTTAAGGTCTCATTCATTTTATATGCCAGATGCATGTTAAGGAACATTACTGCATAAATGTTTTTGTCTTAAATTTGAAGCTTTTTACTAATATAGAGATATGTTAGTTTTAAACCTCTTCAAATTAGGGTAGACCTTTACTTTAAACTCAGCAATGTGAGTGTGTTGTGTGAACTTGTGTTAGCGAGACAGTGTGTTGTATGAATTTGTGTTAGCAAGGCAGTGTGTTTTGTGAACTTAATTGTGTTAGCCTGACAGTGGGTTGTGTGAATTCTTGTTAGCTTGACAATGTGTTGCGTAAACTCGTGTTAGCGGGACAGCGTGTTGTGTAAAATCGTGTATAAAGTGTAAGTGTGACAGTGTGTTGTGTAAACTCGTGTTAGCTAGACAGAGTGTTGATTGAACTCGTATTAGCGAGACTTCGTGTTGTGTAAACTGGTGTTAGTGAGACTGCGTGTTGTGTAAACTCGTGTTAGCGAGACTGCGTGTTGTGTAAACTCATGTTAGCGAGACAGCGTGTTGTGTGTATTCTTATTAACGAGACAGCATGTTGTGTGAATTCGTGTTAGCGTGACAGTGTGTTGTGTGAACTTGTTATCCTGAAAATTTGTCGTGTGAACTGGTGTTAGAGAGATAGTGTGTTGTGTGAACTCGTGTTAGCAAGATTGCATATTGTGTGAACTCGTGTTAGCCAGACTGCGTGTTATGTGAACTCGTGTTAGCGATATTGCATGTTTTTTGAATTTGTGTTAGCGTGACAGTGTGTTGTGTGAACTCGTGTTAGCCTGACAGTGTGTTGTGTGTGGTAATGACAGTGTGTGTGTGAAATTAGGATGACAGTGTGTTGTGTGAAATGGTATTAGGATGACAGTGTGTTATCGCAACAGCGTTTGGTGCGAACTTGTGTTAGTGAATAGTGAGACAGCCTGTTTTGAGAATTCGTGTTAGCGTGACAGTGTGTTGTGTGAACTCGTGTTAGCCTGACAGTGTGTTGTGTGAAATGGTATTAGAATGACAGTGTGTTGTGTGAAATGGTATTAGGATGACAGTGTGTTATCGCAACAGCATTTGGTGCGAACTTGTGTTAGTGAATAGTGAGACAGCCTGTTTTGTGACTTTGTGTTAGCGTGACAGTGTATTGTGTAAACTCGTGTTAGCGTGACAGTGTATTGTGTAAACGCGTGTTAGTGAGACTGCGTGTTGTGTAAACTCATGTTAGCGTGACAGTGTGTTGTGTGAATTCATCTAAGCGTGACAGTGTGTTGCGTGTACTTGTGTTAGCTAGACAGTGTGTTGTATGAACTCGTATTAGCGAGACTGCGTGTTGTGTAAAACTTGTGTTAGCGAGACAGCGTGTTGTGTGAACTTGTGTTAGCGAGACAGCGTGTTTGTGAATTCGTGTTAGCATGATAGTGTGTTGTGTGAACTCGTGTTAGCCTGATATTTTGTTGTGTGAAATTGTATTAGCGTGACAGTGTGTTGTGTGTTAGTGTGACAGCGTGTGGTGCGAACTTGTGTTAGTGCGAAAGTGTTTTTCAGTGTTGTGATGGCGAGCTGTGTGATAGCCTAATGGCGTCTTTTGTGTCGGTAAGATGGCACGCTTTTATGAAAGTGCTATTGAGCTTTAGCAAGTGGCCCTATCTGGACACGCCTTATTATAATTGATCAGTTCTCAGATATACAGTGAATTACCGGTATTATTGTCACCATGAAATCAGCATTTACAGTTGCAATTACCTAGTTAGTAATCATAAGATATTGGTTTGTCAGTTTTAAAATTATGGTGTTCCAATGATGTGAAGTTGCAGTGTGTTAGCATGTTAATTTCAACAGACTGCCACTCCAATGCAGCTTTAAACAACACGCTGCTGTGTTAACACAAAACAAAATATCATGCAAACACAACTTTAAACAATCTGTTGAGTGTTAGCTTCACTGCATGTTGGATTCAGTGTGCTGGCATATTATCACTGACGTACATGCTAGCACATTGTCACCTCGTGCTAGTATGTTGTCATAAATACTCTAGCACATTATCCTAAACCCACTAGTGCATGATTACTTTGCACTTGTATGTTGTCTTATTAGGGAATAGCATAAATGACTGCCTTAATTGGTGTAAACTTCTTTTAATTGATGAAAGAGTACATTAAAATTTACAAATTATACACAGAAAATGTGACAATATCTTATCTCTCAATTTGATAATCTAATTTATAATCTCATGAATTGCACTTTTTATTAGTAAAAGAATTATAGATTAAAAAATTTCAATTTCTTTTGGATAGGTGTGACTCATCTGAAGACTGAATTTTGATACCAAGCATGACCATGATTTGCCAGAAGATCATCTGTTTGGATGTGACATGGAATAAACAGCATAGTGAAAATAAGTCAAGTTTTGGTTTGTGAAGACAATTTTTAAACACACTGTGTATCATTTTTAAATTTTGATTTGACAACATAAATCCACAAATATGAACATATCAATTGCTCTCAGTTTTTCAAGTGAAATAGTTTTTGTAACAGAAATACATGTACCAGTAATTACATTGGAATAAATGTTATTTTTAAATATAATAATATTTTGTTTGTGTAGCATGTTGACCTCTTTATTAAGGTCTTCCCTTTCAAAGTTTAGACTTACTTATTCTAATGATTAAGATAGATCCTCTGTCTTCAGCAGGAATAGAAGATCTTGTAATACATGTATGTGTATTTTTTACAGTATAACGTAAAAAAAATTGTTATTTTGGCACATACAACTAATTAAAGGCATAAACATGTGTATGATTCCAAGGAATTCAGTACATAGGGCATGTACATGTAGTTTTCTAAAACAAGATTGAAGAGATGTCCAGTCGCATTTCAATGTCAACTGCAAAACTGTGCCTGTTGCATATTTATTAGCCCATCTGAGCTAAAGGAACCAGTAAATTTTTTAAAAACATAATTTTATCCATTATCATCATTGTCTAAAATTTCACAATATCATTTTCCAGAACCAAAGTGAAACTTGGCACAGAGCATCCTTAGTGTAGGGGATTCAAATTGTTCTTATGCAGGGCAATACCTTCAAAGAGATTTGTTTCTTTAATGCTGTAAATGTATTATATTTAGCTTGTACAATATTTGGTGGAAATTGACTTTTGAATAAGTTAGCGTAGATATTCTTATTTATGTTTATGTACAAGACTTTTAGCTTTGTACTTGATTTAGTGATTGCTGCATTCCGCCAAAGCCGCTAAAAAGAATACACAGCCATATGTAATATGTTTACAATATACCTTTCAGAGAATTTTACACTCCTATTGAGGTACCACCAGTTGCTAGTGGAAAGCTTCAAATTCGAAACATACACAACACATTTCTGTGCGTTTATTATAAAAGTATTGTTCTACTTACTGATTGCAACTAATGAAGATTGTTCATCATTATTGTAAATACATTTGGATTTTTTGAATTATTATATAATTTGTTTATTTTATTTACCTAGTTATATTGTATATTAAATGATTTTAAAGCCATTTTTAAGATGGTAATGTAGCAAAACACTTATGTTTCTGTAGTATGACACGTTTCACAAACATTTGCACAAACATGATATATCCGATATCAAAAGTCATAATATTGGAAGTTAAACTGTTGTGGATACGATTTCAAGAATGCTGTTAGAGAGAGTACCCTTTAGACCTCATGCTCACACCAAATTAAAGAATTCAAGTAAGGGTTTCTGAGACAAATCGAAAAAGAGAATGTTAGCAAAGTTGACAATCTAGACAGAAACATTTAATCTTTTGCTTATCGCTAGGAAGGAAGACCCACTCGTTGCTTTGCAACGAGCTTTGCTCTAGTTATTATTCTTTTTTCTTCTTATTTCTTCTCCGGTACTTTTTTGTCCGGAAGTGATCTTGAAACTGTACATCCGACTTAGGTTAAAACCTTTTTAGGGTTAGTAGGCATGTTATGTAGATTTGCCGAACGAAGGTCATTTTGCGCGCACGTGCTTGCAAGAGCGTGCACGTGCAATAAGTGAAATGACCGATATAATTGATATAGGCGTAACTTTTTTACATTTTTGATGAACTACTTTGAAACTTATAAAATAAGGATATATTAGTAGCATAGACAATATGACATGGTCAAAATAGCAAGATCTCACGCGCATGCACGTGCGCTTTGCTCTGATTGGCTGAAACTAAAGTCTCAATATCTTTCTTGTTTTTTGACGAAATGCTTTGAAATTTTAACATATTACAAGATGATATATAGCAATTATCATGAAAACACGTGCATGCACGTGCGCCGCAATCTGATTGGCTTAAACTTTAAATCGCTATATCTCCCTTGGTTTTCAACCAAACAGGATGGGATTTGGAACATAAATAGATATAATGGACATCTACAAGAAATTATGGTCACGATGCACATGCATACACGTGCATGTACGTGCGCTGCAATCTGATTGGCTGAAACTTTAAACAGCTATAACTCCCTTGGTTTTTAACCAAACGGGGTGGGATTTAGAACATAGATAGATGTAATGGACTTCTACAAGAAGGTATGGTCACCATGCTCATGTATGCACGTGCGTGCATGTGAAATGAGTAAAATTAAAAACACACTTAAATTAGAGTATTTTTTAATAATTTTGGATTAAAAACTTTAATATTTAGTGTATTAAAATATATAGATAAAGCCTCAAATGCATAGAGTTTGTCTTATTTAATGAAGCTTACAGGGAATGTGGCACCAAAAGGAAGTTGGGGAGCGTTTGGGGAACATCTGTAACGGTCCCCGTTACAATTAGCACTAGTTCTTTTTGTTTTATATATTAATGAAATTTACGCAAGTAAGACAGTTAAAAAATATATTGACTCTGTATGATTTTTAGAATCAACAAGCCCATCGGACTTCTTGAATTTTGATTTTCACTGACCCGACATCAAAATTCACTGGCCTCGGTCTTCGGACCAGTGAGTTTTCGTGAAAACTGTTACTACATATTTCTATGTAAAACTTTGGTCGGCCATTTTGGCCCCGCCCTACCCCCGGGGGTCATGATTTGAACAAACTTGAATCTACACTACCTGAGCATGCTTCCATATAAATATGAATTATGGCTTTGTCATTCTTGAGAAAATTTTTTAAGAATTTTCCTATATATTTCTAAGTAAAACTTTGGTCTGCCATTTTGGCCCCGCCCTACCCCCGGGGGTCATGATTTGAACAAACTTGAATCTACACTACCTGAGCATGCTTCCATATATATATGATGAATTATGGCCTTGTCATTCTTGAGAAGAAGATTTTTAAAGAATTTTCCTATATATTTCTAAGTAAAACTTTGGTCGGCCATTTTGGCCCCGCCCTACCCCCGGGGGTCATGATTTGAACAAACTTGAATCTACACTACCTGAGCATGCTTCCATATATATATGATGAATTATGGCCTTGTCATTCTTGAGAAGAAGATTTTTAAAGAATTTTCCTATATATTTCTATGTAAAACTTTGTTCGGCCATTTTGGTCCCGCCCTACCCCTGGAGGTCATAATTTGAACAAACTTGAATCTACACTACCTGAGCATGCTTCCATATAAATATGATGAATAATGGCTTTGTCATTCTTGAGAAGAAGATTTTTAAAGAATTTTCCTATATATTTCTATGTAAAACTTTGGTCGGCCATTTTGGCCCCGCCCTACCCCCGGGGGTCATGATTTGAACAAACTTGAATCTACACTACCTGAGCATGCTTTCATATAAATATGATGAATAATGGCTTTGTCATTCTTGAGAAGAAGATTTTTAAAGAATTTTCCTATATATATTTCTATGTAAAACTTTGGTCGGCCATTTTGGCCCCGCCCTACCCCCGGGGGTCATGATTTGAACAAATTTGAATCTACACTACCTGAGCATGCTTCCATATAAATATGATGAATTATGGCTTTGTCATTCTTGAGAAGAAGATTTTTAAAGAATTTTCCTATATATATTTCTATGTAAAACATTGGTCGGCCATTTTGGCCCCGCCCTACCCCCGGGGGTCATGATTTGAACAAACTTGAATCTACACTACCTGAGCATGCTTCCATATAAATATGATGAATTATGGCTTTGTCATTCTTGAGAAGAAGATTTTTAAAGAATTTTCCTATATATTTCTATGTAAAACATTGGTCGGCCATTTTGGCCCCGCCCTACCCCGGGGGGTCATGATTTGAACAAATTTGAATCTACACTACCTGAGGATGCTTCCTTATAAGTTTCATCTTTCCTGGCACAGTGGTTCTTGAGAAGAAGATTTTTTTAAAAAACATACCACCAAATTTTCATTAATTCCCAATTATCTCCCCTTGAATGAGGGCGAGGCCCTTCATTTGAACAAATTTGAATCCCCTTCACCTAAGGATACTTTGTGGCAAGTTTGGTTGAAATTGGCCCAGTGGTTCTTACAGAAGTCGAAAATGTGAAAAGTTTACAGACAGACAGACAGACAGACAGCTGGACAGTCGGAAGCCGACAAAATGTGATCAGAAAAGCTGACTTGAGCCTTCGGCTCAGGTGAGCTAAAAACAGAGAAAACTTGTCTTATCTAATAATGTGAACATCATCAAAGCAATGACTTCAAGTTTTCCTTCATCAACTTTCCTTATTGTTAGCAATTAACCCCATTGCCTGAATAGGTAGTTTTTTTTTATAATCTGTTCCAAAGAAATTGGCAGGATTAAACAACATTCTGTGTGAGAAAATTAAAATATAGAGGGACTTTAAGTTTACTTTGTACTGGACAATATTATGAAATATTGAAAATCCCAATTAGACAAGCTTTACTGTATTTATATGTCACAATTCAGAGATAACTGAACAAGGTACAGGGATAAATGTAGATCTCAAAGAAATATGTGTAGATAAATTTTACTAAAGAATTTACAGTATCTAATTGAATGTTCTGAAATAAATTTTGAAGGATCATTTTATTTACTAAACATGAAATGAAAAATATTGAAATTGCAGGTGAGGAAGAAAAATCCATACCATTTTGTCAAACTTGAGAGCTTCTTTTTCAGCTATCTGTGCCGTTCTTTCTTTGTTTATATAGGCTGATCGTAACTTTGCTTCTAGTTCTCTCAACTCTAGACTGTACAAAAAAGGAAAGCAACTTTAATGTAAATAGTCTCATTTCTTCGAAAGAAAATATTACATGAATTATTTTTACTGGGTTACCAGGTTACACACACAAAAAAAAATATTTAAATATTTTGCTGCACTAACTGGAAAGCAATTTTTAAAATCACTATCCTGACAATTTCAAAAGGTTTTATGAAATAGTACGCCTTAAATATTTAAGTAATAAATATAACGACTTTAGTACACTACCTTGTTTCTCTGATCTGTTGTCTCATTTTCTCGTCCCTGATGGAATCTAGTTTCCGTTTCTCCAGCTCTGCAGCCAGTCTTTCTTCATGGAGTAACTGTTCTTCTCTGATTAAGCGATCTCTCTGGGCCTAAAATATTAAGCAAAGAACATTTTACAAATTCTGGATGTTATTAATTTTCGGTCACAAATCAAATTTACCAATTGATGTAAATAATGATTTGTAAAATTTACTGATGCATTTTTTCATCCACATAAACACATTCAAGAACATTGCTTAAAAACTCTCAAGCTTCAGAGAAGGGGGATAATAAAGAGTTCAATCCATATACCACAAATACAAGAATAAATACATGTTTAATTCTATAATTGTTTTCAAAATGACAAGAATGCCTTTCTCAATTTTGTTGCATTTTAAGTAAATTCATCAAGTAACTGAACATTTTAACCTTCAGGATTGCCTCCTCCATTTCCCTTTCCTTCTGCTCCATCATAGTACGCCTGATAAAACGTTTCTCCGAGATACGCTCCTCATTGCTCATGTTAGCCTCCAGTCTTTTCTCCTCGTGTAACCGACGAATCGTGTCTTCCCGATAATCTTCTTGTCTTCTCATGTTCTCTAACTGTCTTTCTCTCGCCCCTCCTGTCAGGGCTCGGCGCACAGTTGTCTACAAAATGGAACATGCAAGTTATTCACCATGTTCAAATAAGTTTAAACTATTACACTGACATTAGATAACTAGAATTATCATGTAGGCTAGTTGCAATTTTATGAGCAAAAAAATCCTGCTGAGGCATTGCTTGAGGGTAATTGGATAAAATCCTCATTAGATAAAGCATTTAGTGTCTGAAAGTTTGATTTTAATATGGCAAAAATTCTGTACAGGTCTGTGTTGAAAGTGAAACGAAAAAATATATTAGGCCATTTACATGAAACAACATTGAATGAACATGAAGCAAATCTCACAGTGCACCCTATTTTCGAAAGTTTTTCCTTCGAAAAGCATCACAACTGCAAAATTTACATTCTAGAATAACTTTAAATAAAATTTCATCACGTAAATATTTGATTATTGCTTAAAATACTTACCATTTTAGCTATAAATTTAAATTTTCACTTCCAAGTGTAATAAGTCGATATGCTCTCAGTGTATTTGTGTTTGCACTTGGACTCGTCTGTTGCTAGGTTGGAACAGACTTGTCTTGCTGTAACAAAATTTTTTCCTGAATCTTTAGACTGATGTATGACAGATTGAAACTTTTTTTCTTTATTATTGTTGCATGGAAAATGAACAATATTAAAAGATTATTTGGAAGCCATAAAACTCCGTGAATTAAATGTTTAAAAAATAACCTTTCAAACCTTAATGGATGGTTCCATTTTTTCAAAAAAATTAAACATTCTCGGAACCGGATAAAAACGGAAGGATATTCCATGTATACTAAAGAGATCTTGCTATATTCGTCGATATACATTCTTTATTTATTATTTTATGTTGTGGATATTTTGTTTATATTTTTGCCCTGCTCATAATTGAAAAAATATTGAATACCTAAAAGTTAACTTTGGATTGACGAGAAATAATCCCGACGGCTAAACGGAAGTAAAAACATTTCAACCGGTGTCGAAAAGGTAAACTGCAAACAGAAAGGAAACTAACTGCAAACAATCCACAAAAATCAAACTACCGACCGACCATCGGTGTAAATTGTCCTAATTACTGGTAAGAAAAAAGTATGTACTTTATTTTGAAATCAATAAGGACAGGTTCTCTCCAATATTTATAAACTTTTGCGGAGAGAGAATTTATCCACCCTTAGGATCAAATGTCAACTTAACCCGAATTGCCTTTTATCAACAAACCAAGTATATTCATTGTTTATTGTTCGTTTGTTTTCACAATTATGGCAAACATTAACAATATTGCATATCCAGAATAGTTATTGTTTAGTTTTAGAATATTTTTCAGGTGGGCTTCAACAGGAAAAGGGATAAAATGGCAGTCCCAGCAAAGATAGTTTTGAAGAGCGGGACAAAGATGTCCCTGAATGACAGGTGAGGGGAGTTGTAGACCCTGGAGAAGGGGGGAGAGTGTCTACAGCATGTAAGGAGGGTGTTCCCTGGTGGAGAGACCCTCTGAATCGTGTAGGAGAGGGTGTGCTAAATGTCACTTATGAGTGGTCATGCACAAAAGTTTGTTACAGTAGAAAACAGACTTTTTCTCCAAAACATAAACACACCCTTTTCATAGGGTGTCGAAATGCATGAAAACGAAATTATTAGATTTAACTTTTCTTTTAAATAAAGAGTGTACTATGAAAATTGGAAATTTTACAAATTTTAAATCAGAATATTTGACTTGTGACAAGAAAGATGGTTTGTATTTTATGTGCTTTCTTTGAATTTTTTTTCTGGTGTTAAAATAACTGCATGATGCAATTTTGAAGATTTATCGTAATAGTTTCACAATAACATGTAAAAGAATGGTTGGCTCTAGTAAGGCATACTTCACAATAGTGACATTGAAAGCTATCATTAGCACTGCCCTAGTAAGGTAAATATCCAAATTTATTTGGAATACCTTGCAGTCATGGGCAAAACTAAGACCTGAAGAAAGGCTTGTGTTTACACAATCATATGAAAATAATGAAGAAAAGGTTAAAAAAAAAAAAAGCAATAATGGATATGCTTTGCAGTAATGAGCCAACCTACATGTATATAAAAAAAGCATGGAGAAAAAGTCAATAAGAATTAAGTCTTGCAGTGATGGGTGTTATCCCTAGTAAGACTAATGCACCCTCTCCTTGTAATCCCGAAGATTTACCAACATTGTAGACGCCGACGTCGCCCACCTCGCCCCAGGCGATCCGAACAAGAATGGCGGAGGCCCAGCAGGCATCCTCAGCCAATCGGAGGCTAGCTCAGCAAATGGCAAACAGACCTACCGCAGGCAGCACTGAAAATCAAAAAGGGTGAGTGACCAGCTAGGATTCTGAGTTGGAGAGTTTGGTAAAGAAGGCAGCTGTGAGAATTTGAAAAATAATGACATGAGAAGTTGGGGAAATGAACATGAAAAAAGAAGAAGGTATGGTTTCCATACAAATTTTGCCCTGTGATTTTCTAAAAAATGAAACTGGTGTAAAATTTAAAAACTCATGCTTTTTAAATAATGGAAATTCAATGCAGAAAAATCATACAAGTCATTTTTCTCACATGTGTTTTGAAATGCTAATTATGACGTCATAAACATGTGCATTTTCCCGTATTTTCTTATTAAAAAGTTGCAGAAGGTACCAATTTTTAATGGAATTTTCTTTCAGATAACATTGTTCACAGGCATCGCCCACAAAGATCTTGAGATATGTGATTTGTTATTGAATTTTACACAAAATATCAAAAAAATAACGTGAGCGACGGCTGTGGACACTGTTTTCTAAAGGAAAATCAGCCTTGAAATGTGCCATTTTGAGGCTTTTTCTATTGAAAATGGAGAAATGCTTCACATTAATGACGTCATATTTGCAGAATGGTAAACCTTCATGCCATATTTTTTCCTGATTTATGAGATTCATTTATTTAACTAATATTTAAGCCAGTTTCAAAACTTTTTGATATTACATTTTTAGGGCGCCAAAATACTAAAAGCATACCTTCTTCTTTAAAGATGAAATTTCCCCCCTAAAAGAGAAATCACATATAGTTTTTTGATGATGCCTTTGGAAACTTTACAATTAGTAATGCCAAAATAACACCAACACCAGTTAGAAAAAAGTTTGTATTATGGGGTCAGTGTCATTGATTCATTTATAAAGTTTTTATAAAGATTTGCACTAATTAAAAGAAGAGGCCTGGTCTAGGATGACACTGTTTACAGTGAAAAGTGGAATTAAAAAATCTATTCAATTCTTTTGTCATAAGTTTCAACATTCTCATTCTTGTACAAATGTATGCATGTATTGATTCAGAAGATTTTTATACAGGAATTGAAATATTTTAACCCATTGTAGACCAGCTTGAAGCAGCGTTTGGGTAGGACTAATGTGAAGGCCAGGTTAAATCTGAGTGCTGTCAGAGGGCGGGGCCGTGGAGGGGGTGGTGGATTCAACAGAGGACAGAGGGGTGGAGGACGAGGACAGAGAGGTGGATCCAGGGGCGGACCGGGCGGAGACGCAATGAGTCCTAGAGGTATTCACTAGTGAGAATATAAACTAATGTAGCTGTTGAAGTTAAAATCAAAATAACTTGATATTTAAAGTAAAACTGTAAAGACATTACACAAATCCTGACATTGAAAAATGTTTGATAGCAATACTGCATTTTCCAGATAGTGAGAATTTTTGAGCAGTTTTTTCATTTAACGTTGAACAATTTACATTGTTCAATTTAATAGTTTTGAAGTAATAGGTTCTACCTTAACTTTTCTTATAAGCTGACAAGTGACATACCTCAAGCTTAATTTGATTTTTGCAAAGGAAGTCTCAATCACTTCTACAACATGTTCAATCAACCCTAAAAAAAAGGTCTAAAATAGAGGTGGAGCTGTGATAGTATTCTTTTTCACAGTTGTGTAGAATGTTATAGGGCTGAAAACAAGGAATTATTTTATCTGGGAATAATTATTTTTCTGGGAATTCACCCTTTTCCTGTGAATAAATTATAAGGTGCCCTATTACCCCTTAGTTACTTAAAAAATAAAAATGGTAGTGACATTTATGCCTAAATGTAAGTGATATTACTTAGATGAAGAAAAATGTTTATATCACATGACTTTCATTATGTTTTGTTTTTTCTATCTTTTTATCAGTTTCTATCTATATTTCTTTTTTTCTTTCTTTCTTTTCTT